TATCTCTTGTAATCTTGCCTCTCAGTTTATTTTCGCATTTCCTATTTTTCTCTTTTTCAAATTAATTCTACTTCAGGCCTGCATCTTTCTTTACTTCCCATCTCTACTATAAAAAACCAACCTGCCAAGTAATATGGTACTACTCTAATTATTTCTTAATATAGCCATATCATTTTTAAGGCTCATGGCTGAGGGAAAATGTTGGCAACATAGGGACCAGCAATTATTAGGCCAGAGAAAACGTATAAATATAGAGCAGGTGTCTTCTACTATCAAGGCTGTGAAGAGAACAGCCAAATTTCTATTGATTCAAGATGTGAAGAAAAGGCCTAGAATTTAAATCCTGGAGCATACATAGAGAGAGAGTGTGATTTCTACATTTTGGTATAGGAAGATCTTCTGTATATGTGTGACTTCATTCTTCCATGCAGTAAACAAATGTTTAATTGTATTGTCACTGCAAATCTGGTATATTCAAATTCCTGAAGATTTAGAGAGTTGAAATTAATTGCCATGCCTTAATGTGAAGTGTAACAATAATAAGATAAGGCTCAAAAACTGTAAGAGGGATCTTGGAGTACTAGTGAACGATTACTTAAATATGAGCCAGTAGTGTGCGGCAGCAGCCAAAAAAGCGAATACAATCCTTGGTTGTATAAACAAAGGCATAGAATCAAAATCACATGAAGTATTAGTACTGCTTTATAAAGCCTTCATGAGGTGACACTTGGAACGCTGCATCTGTAATTCTGAGTTGCTGAAATCTCAGAGTCATACTGTTGAAGGCTGCGGTATGGGGTCATACAAATGACTATATCAATGGTGAAATGTAAAATTTGTTACTACCAGTTCTGTGGGCATGGCTTGGTGGTGGTGGGTAATATGACTGAGTGGGTGTAGCCAACTTTTCTTTTTTTTTTACTTTTAAAACCATTTTTTCTACAACCTCTTCAGCTGAAGAGGTTGTAAAAAAAATGCTTTTAAAGCCTCTGATGATCTCAGCTGACTTGCCTGATCGGCAGAGGCTTTCTTTCTTTTTTTTTTTTTAAAGCCTCTGACGATCCCAGCTGAGCCGCGTGATCATCAGAGGCTCTTTTTTTTACTTTTAAAAGCATTTTCTTGGCCAAAGAGGTTGTAGAAAAAATGCTTTTAAAAATTAAAAAAAAGCCTCTGATGATTGCATGGCTCAGCTGGGCAATGTGGGGGGGGAGGGATTTTTGCTATTGGTTCTCCGAACCACCCGCCTCCATCGCTACTGGATCGGGTGATCTGGTCCGAACCGGGAGCATTTCACCCCTGGACTATATCTCCTCAAGTATTGCATCAGCAACATAACACTTTACCAATGTTCATTGGGGATGTGTGTGCATGTTCACACCAAATTTCATCAAAATCCATGATGGTCGACCTGGGAGTCCCAAACCAGGGGTGAAATGCTCCCGGTTCGGACCAGCTCGGGCGAGTAGGTAGCGATGGTGGCAGGCAGTTCAGAGAACCGGTAGCAAAAATCCCTGCCCCCGCCCCCCATGCCCAGCTGAGCCCCGCGATCATCATAGCCTTTTTTTCCTTTTAAATGGCTCTGACCAGCCAAGCTCTGACATCCCAGCTGAGTTGCCTGCTAATCAGGCAACTCAGCTTGGATCGCCAGAGCCATGTAAAAGAAAAAAAGTTTCTTTTTCTCTCCCCCCGCCCCCCAGCTTCCAGCTTGCTTACCTTAGCTTTCCTGCCTAGATTTGTGGACTTCAACTCCCAGCAAAGCTGGCTGAGGAATTCTGGGAGTTGAAGTCCACAAATCTTAAAGTTGCCAAGGTTGGAGACCCCTGTTCTATTGGGTAAGTTTTTCCCCCTTTGGGAGTTTTAAAAAAAATAGTTAATTGGGGTTTTTTTTTAGTTGTTCTTTTTTTAGACCTAGCCATTTAAAGTTTAGGAAGTTTTAAATTTAGCTGCTTTTATATAAAAATAAAAATAAATAAAAATAAAATAATATTTGTGCAGCTTTCTGAGATTTAGTGTGTTTCTGTAGTGTTTCACTCTAACTACACAAACACACAAAATCTCACAAAGCTGTATGTGGAATTTTGTGTGTGTAAAGTGTGAAAGTTGTTTTTTGGGGCTTTTTGTGACTGTGTGAGGTTCCTGCTTGTTGCGGGGCCATTTTGAGTCTAGCACAGCTGGTTTTACATTATGGGTGAGCCAGTTGTGTTGTATTGTGTTTTGTAGGTTAAAAAAGGGCAAAGAAGTGACATTGACTTGACCACACCCACCCAGTCACTTAACCACCAAGCCCCACCCACTAATTAAGGCACACCCACAGAACCGGTAGCAAAAAAATTTAGATTTCACTCCTGCCCCAAACCACTTGACATGGAATGACCCCTAGAGAAAAGAAGGACTAGGGTGACATGATAGCAGTATTCCAGTATTTGAGAGGTTGCTACAAAGAGGAGGGGGTCAATTTATTTTCCAAAGCATCAGAGGGCAGGACAAGAAACAACAGATGGAAACTAATCAAGGAGAGAAGCAACTGGGAATCAAGGAGAAACTTTCTATCAGTGAGGACAATAAACAGTGGAACTTCCTGCCTTCAGAATTTGTGGGTGCTTCATCACTGGAGGTTTTTAAGAAGAGACTGGACAGTCACTTGTCAGAAGTGGTATAGGCAGTGGTGGGATTCTGCCGGTTCTAGGCGGTTCGGCCGAACCGTTTGTTAAATTGCTGGCTCGCCCTGCCCCTTGTCCCACCCCTCCACACCACTATTTATTGCCAATAAATAGTGGTGGGCGAGGGGCGGGCGAGCCAGTAATTTAACAAACGGTTTGGTGTTTTTTTGCAATTAAAAGCTATTTTTGACCGTTCCTCGCACTTTTGATCAGTCCTTGAACTTACGACTGTCCTCACATTTTACATTTTGCACCCTATCTTGTCACTGTGGTGAAGAGAAGTAGTGGTGAAATGACTGACACGGTTGTTAAGAATGCCGCAACGGGCATAAATGTGAGGATGGTCATAAGTGCGAGGACCAGTCAGAAATGACTTTTTTCAGCCCTCTGAGTAGTCCCTATGCACATAGCCACGCCCACCCAGTCACATGATCAGCTAGCCATGCCCACCCAGTCACATGACCACCAAGCCACACCCCCAACTAAGCCACGCCCACAGAACCGGTTGTTAAAAAAATTGAATCCCACCACTGGGTATAGGTTCTCCTGCTTGAGCAGAGGGTTGGACTAGAAAACCTCCAAGATCCTTTACAGCTCTATTCTGAATGATTGAATAAGTTGCAGATAAGCACTGATCTGTGTTTCTGCAAGTTCCAAAGCATTCCTTCTACGTCATTTTAAAAGTCTGATTTTCAAAGATTCTAGGACACTGGAATCTGACTCCCCCCCCCAAACAAACAAAAAGTCTGTTGCTTTGCCAGTATTATTTGGCAAACATATATGTGAGATAATGGTGAGAATATATTAAGGTATGGATGAGGACATTTATTTCATTTCAGACATGGAAATACATTTTGGCCCCCCTGAAACTAACTTCTCTATTCAGTAATAATAGTAGCTTCACTGAGTCAACATAACTTGATAAGTTATTTTACTGCTGACCAGAAATAAGTCCTAGATATGCAGAATATATACCATACTGAGTTAATGGATACTTTGCCAATCACTTGAAGTTCCTGTGAGACAGCTGAGTCTGTTGTATGTTTACACAACAATTCTGTTTCAACTGATTTATCAATGGTTCTTACTTCACCATTTTCAGCCCTTGCAGGAAATCATTTCTGCTGACCCTTATCAGCTGCTGAATACTTTTATTCTTATATTTAACAGCATGTAAGAAATAAGTCCATTGCATATGTGCTCCTTTTGTTGAAATATTTTCACACTCAGGATCTTATACAGATTTACCATGGAATGAGGTTTTTTTAACTCAATAAAAGTTACTTCTAAATAGTTCTAGACAAAATTGTTAATTGTGAAAACTAAAGGAATACAGATTCATTTCAAAAACAAACATTTCTGGACAATTGTTTTCAGTATTATGGCATGCTGTTAGCTAAATAACACTTGATACCAATGATGATCCTATGAATTTTCAGGTAAGATATCCCTCCTGGCCTATGAAAATTCAACCAGCCCCTAGAGGGCAACAAAGAGTTAGTTTTCTTTATCTCTTTGCTGCCATCTAATTGTCCTTGTTATTTTTACAGCCCTGATATGATAGACACAATGACAGCCAAAAATGAATGAATTTGCAATCTATTTTATTTTTAGAATTAACATGAAAATAAGAATGCCTGCCTCTGGGTTCCGTTCAAGCTGTGTGAGCAGACTGTGGCAATACTCTAGATATTTTGATCTCCATATTTTTTTAAATATCTTTTTCATGACTTTACATTCATAAATATTCCTACAGTGTCAAGGGATGGGTTTTTTTCCCCTTCAATTCATTAGATCTGTTCCCATGAATTATTTATATGTAGAGCTAAAAATGGTCTTGAAACGTTACAAGAATTCAATATCGGTTTTCACAGTGGGGATTTCATCATTTTTAGTGCTGAAGCATAATCGCCTAATGCAATACTAATATGATATGGTGCTAATAGGGTACAATGAAAGTTTCCACTAATACGCAAACATTTTATGCATTGCATTATTATTTCTTTTAAGTTAATGCAATACAGTGATAATACGATGAAAAGAATTAACTTCATATCATTGTCTGCATGACTTGTGCATATTAAAAGAATATTCCTTCCTTTTCCATGAATTCATTGAAATGAGATTGAATATTTACCCTGTAGTTATGCTTATGTTAATGAGACTGTTTAGTTAGAAAACAGCCTTGCTGTTATTTAGCCGACTGAAGAAAAGAATTGACACGTGTGACTTCCTTCTGAAATTAGATTCCTCCCACCCCACCCCTTTCTGCCTTTAAAGATTCTTTGGTAAACATGTTTGTTGTAATGTTCTCTTACTAGTTTCATTGAACATTTACAGGAGATTTCACAATCAATATTTATGAGGATCCACTTGTACTAAGCAATTACTTGTCACTACTGGAGAAGAATCAGACTGAGACAGAAAAGGGAGATGACAAAAATATTGATGTTGAATAAGATGGCTTGTCTTGGCTTCCCTGTGATTTAAACTGCATGTCCATAGTCTGGATATAATATAAAATAACCTTAGGCTTATTTGCAAGTTTATCTAGGGTTTCTTCGTTGGTTAATAATGTCAGAAATATTTCCAGAAAGCTAAAGCACCTACAGATATTGATGTTATCTGAAATGTGTTGAAAATAGGGTACATTCAGTACATTCCAATGCACAATTTAGTTCATTTTGGGCATTGGTGAGACTAAACAACATCAAAGGTATCCTTCCTGACTCTCAATATGCACCCTTGAATGCATCCCGTTACATTCTATGGTAAAGAGAGGTTCGTAAGTAATCATACTAGACAGACAAATTGACACACCAAGATAAAGAAGGAGACGAGGAAAGATGCTCTTTAAGGCAAAATGTTTCAACATCCATTGATATAAATAATTGTTGAGGGAAATGACATGGCGTGGTAATTGGCCTTTGTATATGTAAGAGAAATCCTCCCCAGAGGTGCTTGAATCTAAATCAACATTTAGAAGACAGATATTATGACCTGCTAGCATCTGTCTCTGACAACGGAGCATGAAATTTAAATTGCCATATTTATTAAGTCATTGTTTGAATGTCAAATGAACCCCATATAATCTACAGACTGTATAGCCAAGGATACTTTCATCTCCCCTTCTACAAAAACAATACCACATGCTAAAATTCCTTCTTTCCAAGCCTCAATCCACAATTTTTCTACAAATATTTGTCTAGATTTGCATAAAGGCGGCCAAAAGAAAACCCACAGAGGGGACTGAGAAATGGAGGAAAGGAAAGAGCTACAGTAAGCAATGCAAATGAATGCCTCAGTGTATGACAGTTTCCAGAGGATCTGGTAGTGAATCTGCATTCAAAAACCTTTCTAAGTGGAGGAGTGAGGGAAGAGAGGAGTGAAGGAAAATCTACTTTAAAAAGGAACTTCATGGAGTTGATGATATAATTTTATTGGGGAGGATGGAAGTAGAGAGGAGAGAGATTGTTAATGCTTTATATCTGCCCTGATTTCAAATAGAAGTAAAATGCTAAACCTGAGCACAGAAGCTGGAAGACAGAAAATATGCAAAGAAATCCCTCTCAAGGGAAGCCAAATGCCACCAGGAGCTGCAGAAGTACTGCTGAGATTTGTGAGGAATGAATCATATTGGTAACACGGTACATTTCAGAAGGGGGGAAAAAGCTCCTCTTTGGTAGAAAGAAGGGCAGTTAAGGTTGAAGAAACTGTAGGTTAAATAATAGAAGCATTTCGGCAATGTCAAATCACTGCTAGACAACATCCTTTGATAAACACAGGAGATATCTTTTTGGTCTTACCTGAGATCTGCTGTCAAGTGTTTGCTGAGTCAAACAGCATTCTGAAGATAAGCTTCTCCCACCTCCCTCAGAGCTACAGGCCAAGAATAGGCTATGATCTTGTAGGAGAAAGAATGGCAGAACCTGGGGGTGAAGTGAAAACAGAGACCAGCCTAGAATCCCTACGTAGCCACAAGGGAACTAAATCCAACCCCCTTGAGTACCGTTGACCCTTATCCCAAAGGTGATTTTTCAAGAGGCAACTGGACTTTCTGTTTTTTCTTTGAAGACATTTCGCTTCTCCAAGAAGCTTCTTCAGCTGAGGAAATTTCTTGGATGAGAAGCAAAACATCTTCAAAGAAAAACCAGAAAGTCCAGTTGCCTCTTGAAAAAGCACCTTTGGGACAACCATGACCTGGATGACTGAGAATCTTCATAGACATTGACCTTTATCTATCTCTAAACAGATGCTAACCATTAGTTGAAAAGTTTCTCATTCATAGGTGATAAATTAGCTTAATTGAACCTTCACGTGTGAACCTGGTGTTTCATGCTTGACAATTCTCTAGGATCCTCTAAGGAACAGAACTGAACTTAATCATTTCCTCCTTTTCGGCACCTTCCCATCCATAAAATGAATATGTTAACACTTTTCTCTGGATGTGTTGTGAACTTAAATCAAATTACTCTTATTTTTTAACTTTGAAAAGAACATTAAAAATGCTGGTTGGGGATGTTAATCATCTTTATTTATTCTCTCACAAGGGGATAGATTGTATGACAATCTGACTTTAAGGAAGGCCTTAAATTCAAGTAATACCAAACTAGTCATCATTACAGTTTACAAGCAGCCGATATATTGAATATAAATTGGTGTTAAAAAGACCAATAATTCAAATAAAGTTAACAACTACTGTATAGCTCTCAAAATGAAGTCCTGAAAAACTGATAAATCTTTGTCTAGAATTAGATTCTTAAATATCAAAACTTCCAAGAATCTTGTTTTCTCTTTTTTAATTATCAGATTTCTAAAGGTACTGTACATAATTACTTGTTTAATCATAAATTCATGAAATGTTCATAAGGATGACATTTCTATTCTGCTTTCAATAGGAGATTATGGTTAAGAGGATCCAGGACCTGGGAAGTATGTTTTGAGCCTGATATTTAGAGCACATTTACTGGCATTTATGCTTTAATCTTCTTATTGACTAGCATTTAAGGAAAATTCAAGTTACTTAAACAGTGATTAAATAAATTAAATCCTTTGATACTCTCAAAACAGGGAGAGGTGAACATTTTAGTCCAGAATTACCTTATAGAAGAAGCAGAATAAATTCATTTGTGGCAAGTGTTTATTTTCTGAAACTCTTAATACAGGGTTAACATTTTTCCTAGAAGAAATTGAACTTATTATTTATAAAATCCAAAGTTCCATTCATTATTCTGAAGAATCAGAAATGAGTAAAATTAACCAAACTGGAGGGGAGGGGAAGCAGACAAAACTAGAAATATACTCATAACAACTACAAATAAACACTTGCAGTAATTGTTTAATTAAGGGTATAATATTTGTAAAGCAATATTATACAAAGCATTTCCTAATTTCTTCCTCCATCTTCTCTACAATATCTTTATGCTGTGAGGCAAAATATACATTTTTCAAATGAGAAGAATATTTAGAGCAGCACTGATTTTATTTTTCGGTGGCCAGTCCACTCCACTGCACAATTCACTCTTCTTCACCTGTCTCCTTTAGTAGCTGGAATTGTGACAATGATATATCCTACTTACGCTAATAGGAAGATGAGTTCTATAATTACCTGTGAATTGTAGAGAGGTTGGGGGAGAAAGTGTCACCTATATTCACAGAGAATTGAAGATACTGTAGAAAAGAAATGAATGAGCAAGAAACAAAAATCACTACAGATTCCTGTTGCTTGGTTAATGAATCCATTATTAAAATGGTTGTCTTGCCTATACAGTGTATGTATGTATGTATGTATGTATGTATGTATGTATGTATGTACGTACATACATACATTCATACTATATGTGTGTATAATTTGATTAAGGATATTTTCTACAATAGTAAAAACTAATACAAACTAAAAGAAACTTAAAGAAAAGAGAAAAGTAAATAAGAATGAAAAAGTACAAGAAAGACAAAGAAAGAAATATATAAAGAAATTACTTCTAACATCATTGCGAGTACAAAGCTAATATTTCTTCACTCCCTATAAAGTTATAGAAATGTCTTCATCCTATATCCCATCCCTTAATTGTAAGCAAATCCATAAAACATAAACTTTTCAATCCTGGTGTCAACAAAAAGTTTGCAAATAATTGCCAGAACTGTACAAAAACAAAAATCTTATTTTACATTTTGTCAGATAAACAAACTTTATATTCATTCCTTTTTATTTTTAGCAGTACTGATATTTAGTACATTTAAATCTCGTCATAGGATTTGATTTCTGTTTACTTCTTCATCCCATCGCATAGACTTCTTCACAGATTTAATAAACCTGTTTTGTTGATTTTCCAAATGCTCCACAAAATTTTGTTTGTATTTCCCCTTTAATTTTAAAACTTCAGCCAGTTTCTTTAGTATCTGACAAAGCATCCTTTTTCAAATAATTCCCCCGAACGGTTATTTATAATTCCACTTTCAGTACTTTCTCTGTCTTGTCAGGCAAAATTTGCCCCATGTCTGTAATTTCCTCACTGATATCTTTAGGACATAGCCTATCCATAAAGTCAGACATCATTACTGACACTATTGAAATGGTAGCCACTAATTTTTAGCTCTGTTATTCAACTATCTCCTTTAATATTACCAATGTTGTATCATTTGGTGTCATTTTCTAAGTCCCAGTACTAACACCAAGAGCAGGCTTGTATTTTTTTCCCCTTTCTATTAAAAAATCTTTAGTCCCCCTCTGGTATCCAATTTCTTAAATCATAAAATTGCTTATCTTTGTTATGACTTGCAATGATCATGCAGCCAAAATAAATTTGCTTCCCATGAGAACCTATTTGTTTTTAAGAGTTAATTCCAAAATGTTTTTTTTTAATATTTTTATTGAATGTTTTGAAAGTTTTAAAAAGGAAGATAAAAACTAATACAAACTTAAAAAACATAAAGTAAGGAAGAAAAAAGAAAAATGCAGAAGTGAAAGAGAAAGCTGCAAGTGCAAGAAAGGAAAAAATGTAAAAGAAAAATAGAAAAGTAAAAAAGTAATGCAAACAAATAGCTTTTGACTTTCTTTACGGCATTTACAATCATATGTTTACCTCTTTTTCTAAAGTTATGCCTCTCTTCTTTCTATAATCTATCCTAATCATCAAAAGTGTAAATCATAAATTCTTTTTTTCTGTTTTATGAAGAAGTCCATAGGATATCCAGTCAGCAATAAATATAGGTATTTATTTTCTTTTTTCTCTAATCAAGGAAGTAGTTTGACCATCTCAGCAAGTTCCATCATCTTCATCAACCATTCCTCCCTAGACATCCTGAAAGTTTTACTCTCGCCACTTTGTAAACACCATTTGCATTCTGATAGATCCTCAGCTCTTCCTCTATGACATGCTGAGTGCCACCTGATCTGAGGGACCCATCATCTGGCATGATATCGTGCCATCATTTTCTATTACCTATTCATGTTTTCTTGGTTAAAAACACAGGACTGGTTTACCGTTGCCTTTTCCTGCACAGTACGAATTGATGGTTTTTCACGGTTACTAAAATGGTTATCTGCCTCCAGCATTTTCCTATAACACTGTTGGCCAATATAAGCTGTTGGCTTGTTTAGAGTGGTCTCGGGTGACTTTGCTGGGAAAATATACTCTGGACATACAACTTTCAACATTCTTTGCTTATTCCAAATCAGAAAGCTCAAACTGCCCAAGGAGCTGCTGATTCAGTTCTATAGAGGAATTATTGAGTCTGTCATCTGCACCTCTATAAACTATCTGGTTTGGCTCTGCAACCCAACAAGACAGACACAGACTTCAAAGGATAATTAGAACTGTGGAAAAAACCATTGCTACCAACCTGCCTTCCATTGAGGACCTGTATACTGCAGGAGACAAAAAGAGGGCTGTGTAAATATCTACAGACCCCTCACATCCTGGACATAAATTGTTTCAACTTCTACCCTTATAAAGATGCTATAGGGCACTGCACACCAGAACACCTAAACACAAGGACAGTTTTTCCCCAAATGCCATCACTCTGCTAAACAACTAATTCCCGCAACACTGTCAAATTATTTACTAAGACTGTATTACTATTCTTCTTCTTCTCATCCTTCCTATTACCTATCTCCTCCCACTTGTGACTATAACCATGTTGCTTGTATCTTTACGATTTATATTGTTTTATTTGTTTCCTAGTATGATTTGATTGCTTATTAGTAACCTATGACTATCACTAAGTGTTGTATCTTATAATTCTTGATGAATGTATTTTTTTTCTTTTATGTACACTGAGAGCATATGCACCAAAAACAAATTCCTTGTGTGTCCAATCATACTTGGCCAATAAAGAATTCTGTTCTATTCTATTCTGTTGAATCTTGTCACCTTTATGCGTGCAATAATCTTGTTGCAAAGTATCATATATTGTAATTTCAAAATCTTAGAGCAAAAGTTGGTATTTCAAATTTAACTGAAATCTTAATCCACTTTATTTAACTTTTATTTAGATTTTTGCTGTTTATTTCATTTTTAAAAAAAAATTATTAAGCATTTAATTAATTTCCAGAGTTGAAGGTAAACTCACCTGGCAACTTTCAAGCTTTTCATTCTGAAAGTGTCTAATAGTTTTAAGATGGTTAATAGGCAATTTCTAAAAGTGACTAGAAAATGACAGTTGTGAATAGTGTCCTTTAAAAGGCTCCGCTGTGGTTGCAAGCAAGATGGGTAGTTCCTTCATCTCCCTGTGCATTAAACTCATGGAAAACTCCTTCTTGTGAGAAGCAGATGTCCAGAGCACATGTGAATGATCTCCCATGATCTTCTTATCTGGAGAGGTTTCAAAGAACCAGCCTACTCACTGGTTCCTTCGTCACTGACATGTTTATCAACTTTACTTATTCAGTGATGTTACAAGTCACCATGTTTCTTCTGGAAGTGCCTACTAAATTTTAATACTTTTTGTAACACTTAAACAGGGTTTCTCTCCCTTTCCTGTCTGGTCAGTTGAGCTAGGTTTTTCACATAGATTAGGGAGGTAAAAATATCTAGGACTCAATGTAGTTTGCTGAATTTCTCTTCGTAACATTTTATCCATTCAAAAAGATCTTCAGGCAACT